TGGTCGGGAACTTTCACGAAAATCATCCGGCTGCAATCCGGCAACACTGCAGCGTTAGTGTGCGTACGCAGCTAAGAGCCACGAGGTTTTCTATACAATACAATATGGTAAACATCTAGCTAGATATCCTGTATACCGGTAAAACGTTCAGTTCATATCCTTCTTCTATGGTTCAGAGATAAACGTTCAGTTTCAAGGTGTATGTATCTTGGTTCAGTTTTTCAGTTTTATAATATATAGGTATTCAGTTCAATAAATACTTAAGTTGCTAGCCAGGAATTCCAAAGGTAAGTTTGACATTTTTATATTTTTGCATGATCAAATTTAAGATACAAATTTTATTGTATACAGGGTGTTTCTTTTAACTTGAGACAGCTCAATATCCCGAGAAATACGCATTTCACGGAAAAATGTCTTAAATAAAAGGTTAATGTGAACAAAGGGGACATTATTTGGTGCTACCGCTCCTTAAGGGTGAAACGGGGGGTAACTTTGGAAAGTCAAATGGAATGACCCGATTTTTTTCACAGAGTTTGGTAGTACATAAAAAAATGAATAACTTTTATTTGAAAGTTTTTTTCAATTTATCAACAGATGGCGCTGTAATTCAAAATTTAAGAAAAAGGGGTTTCCTTGTAAAATGTATTATTTGAAACGTTTGAAAAACAAAAATTAACATTAAATCAACAATAGTCGGCTCTGAAAACAATTTATAACAAATGTCGTCCTTCCATTTCGACACCAAGTGGAGCACCAGCGTCCCTGGTCGGTAAACGTTTGGTGCGGTACCTTAAGCGAACGATTAATCGGACCCTTCTTTATTGACGGTGCATTAAATGGCGAAAAGTACCGGAATTTTCTAGAAAACGATCTGACGGACCTTTTGGAGGATGTACCACTAGCACGGCTCCAAAACATGTGGTACCAGCAAGATGGTTGTCCTGCACATTATTCGACAATTGCTCGAGAGGTGTTGGATCGGGAGTTCAATGGCCGGTGCACCGCGGTGGATCGGTAGACGTGGTCCAGTAATTTGGCCTGCTCGATCACCTGATCTTACGCCATCAGACATCTTCCAGTGGGGTTACTTGAAAGAAAAATTTTACGCTGCAATTCCTACAACTTGGGAGGACATGGTGGAGCGGATCAGGAACGCCTGTTCGGCGATACCGCCCGATATGTTGGCGCGTTGTGTGCCAGAATTCATTACCCGCATTCAAAATGTGTTGAAATGGAATGACGACATTTCGAACATTTGTTATTGTTGTTAATGTTAATTTTTGTTTTTCAAACGTTTCAAATAATACATTTTACAAGGAAACTCATTTTTCTTAAATTTTGAATTACAGCGCCATCTGTTGATAAATTGAAAAAAGTTATAAATAAAAGTTATTTATTTTTTTATGTACTACCAAACTCTGTGAAAAAAATCGGGTCATTCCATTTGACTTTCCAAAGTTACCCCCCGTTTCACCCTTAAGGAGGGGTAGGGGGTGGCTAGCGGTAGCACCAAATAATGTCCCCTTTAGTCACATTAACCTTTTATTTAAGACATTTTTCCGTGAAATGCGTATTTCTCGAGATATTGAGCTGTCTCAAGTTAAAAGAAACACCCTGTATATACTATAGTAGATCAGTGCACTGATAATAATTGTTAAAATTATTGCAAAAACAACAAAAACAATGAATAACCATGGTTATAACGCTTTATTGTGGTTATATTTTTTTATAAAGTTTTTATTCATTGTTTTTGTTTTTGAGTCAGATCACGTCAAGTGGACCCCCCATTTTCCACTTCAAATATAATTTAAATTTTAATACATCAAACGTTAGTAGTCATTAGTAACAATATTTCCTTAAAATATATTTTTTTTTATTTAATTTTAACAGTTTTTTTGTAACAAAGATTTTTCTCACTTTTAATTAAAAAATTAATTGTGAAAAAACTGTTAAAAGTTTCGTAGTGAAATTTTCAGGACTTTTTTTTTATTTTTTTATACTTTTTTTGATCATTGAAATATACAATTCAAATTTTTGATAAAGTCTCTAACAAATAATCAAGTTTTTTTCATGGTTACATGTACTGGGTATAAAGGTTTCATATCCTGAAAAAAAAATTTCACTGCCCGGCATTTCTTTAAACATTATTAATTTTTTACTGCAAGGCTCCGCGCCTCATGAGTCGAAGCCGCGCTCGGCTGAATTGGTTTGAATGATTTGTTTTTATTTGAATTAAAAATATGACATCCATTTTAATATTTTTATTAGTCAATATACAGTCGACAAATATTTTACAATTTTTTAATCAATAAAATAAATGAATTAATTAATTAATACAGAATATTTTTATTAGCTATCGCAAGACTTTTCTTTATACACAAAAACAAATATTTTTTTTGTTCTAAGTGTTTTTTAAATAATATTTATTAAATTTTATAAAATGAGTCTTGTAAATAAATGCTTTAATCCATTAATAATGTTATAATTTATATATTTTTTAAGGACCAAAAAGAAATTAAAATAAGGGGAAAAATGATGAGTTATTTGACTCATTTGATGATGTGTCCAGTGATGAATCAGTAAGTATACTTATCTGTAGATGTAATTTCATATATGTGATACATAATATATATTATAATAAAATATTATACTCATGTGTATGCATTAATTAGTATTATTAATGTTATAATTCATATTTTTTTTTAAGGTTAAAGAGGACATTGAAACCTCTGAGGTTGATTCGGAATAAACTTTACAACAAAACACTTTGTGTTTTATTTCAGTATACTATTGTACCTCAAGTTTAATTATACAAAGTTTATACAAAAGTGCTCTTTTAGTTCCACCCTTACTTCTTAAGAAGTCTCATAAGCCAACTGAATGGCTTGTGCCGGTTAGGGGTAGGAACGGACCGCGGGTTTAAAGTCCCCTTCGAAGGACTAATACACAATAGGACAAACACAAATAAACAGCCATACCCCTGGTGGGATTCGAACCCACGATCTCCGGCTTGTAGTCAGCAGCACTAACCACTAGACCACCGTCGGCGTGGATGGCATAATTGTCTAAAAAAATATTCTCCAATTGGACATAAATCACATCTTTATTTAACATTTTTCATTTGACTTTATTTACAAATATAACAAAATCTGTTATTTTAAAAAATAACACGTTTTATTTTGTGTTCCAATTTAAAATGAAGTGCAAAAAAAATTGAGTATACGCACGAAATTCACCGTAAATACGCACGCGAAGATGCGTAAATGCACAAGTGAAGCTCGAAGTGAGTGCGCATGCATGCTAAAATTCGCGCGAAAAAATTGAAATTATGGTGAATGCACATTTTTGTTCAGAAAACTTATTTTACTCTATAGGGGAAAATATGTTTTCTGCACATGCACCCTTTATTTCATTTTTTTTGCTCGAATTTAGAACACGCATGCATTTACGGTGAATTTAAGGGACGGACGCATCTTCACGTGTGCATTCACGGTGAATTCAGGTGTGCATTTAAGGGGCGGACGCATCTTCACGTGTGCATTCACGGTGAATTCAATGGGCGGATATATCTTCACGTGTGCATTCACGGTGAATTCCAGGGGCGGACGCATCTTTTAGCAACCGTGAATTCACGCGTGAAGCAATATTTTTCACCGTGCATTCACGGTGAACTCACGAATGTTATCTGGGTAAAGTTAAAATTTCAGAGACATTTAACAATTACTAATATTTTCAATAATTTTGTATAAACAAACATTCTACATGTGGGTTAACCCATTAATTAATGTGACAGTATTCATGGTTAACTCGGAAAATATGGGCTTTAGGATATGGTAGAGCCATTTTACTCAGAATTTTATGTAGAAATCAAAAATGTAAAAATATATGAGATGTCCTGATTAAAATAACAAAGTTAAAGACATTTCCGGTAAAACAGGAAGTATTATTTTGTTAAAAATAATTTAGGAAAAATTCCCGGAAAATACAATATTGGAAATAATCTTACAATTGTCCAATAATAATTAGTTTTTTTTTGTATCACTTAAAGTAGTTTGTAACAGGCTGAAGGACCCCGGTCGATGGCCTTTTGTATATTTTGTATTATATGTTCTGTATTGTACTGAATATGCAATAAAAACTTTAATTATTTATTTAATTTAGGAAAAAAGTCTAAATCGAATAAAATTTTAAATCGATGTCATTCGCGATTCCCTAGTAACTTATCATATCATTTATGTGTTATGCTATACTTAATTATTAATAAAAGATACAACAATATTTGTATAAAAATTACAATGTACTAAACTAAACAGTTATGAATACTGCTAATTCAAAACTGATCCTGGCCACATAAACATCATTTGCATAAAAAAGTTAATATATCAAATAATAGTCAAATATCAATAATTTAACGTGTTATACTCAAATGTATAAAACAAAGTTCTTCTTCGATTATTTGCCCTTTAAAAATTGTTAAATTTTAAATTAAATTATCACCAGCGCCTCCTGTACGTTAAAATCTAAACAACATTTTTTCATGCATTAATTGCCATTAGTAAGATCTACATTTTGTCCAAATTTCAAATCGATACGTTTTGAAATAAAAAAGTTATTAAAAAAAATGAAATTTTTAACACAGTGAAGAAAAAAATAAAAATAAAAAGAAAGTTGTCAATGGACGAGATTTTTTTTTAAGTACTGTATTTAGATGTAGAAATAAGGTAAGAAAGTTTCAATCGATTTCTTGAACCCTTGCAAATCGACCGTTCGATCCTTTCGCGAAACTGTATACTATAGTTAAATCACAGTGATTCCTAAGTTAGGCAGCCTAACAACGTGAATAATGAATTTACTATTCCTGTTGTTAGGCAGGGCGGTTATAATGGTTACCATTATATAAAAAAACAAATAATTTTAATAATATGCAAAACAAGTATAAAAAGAATGTTTGCGTAAGTGATAATAAAAAGGTTGGGTAATAAAGTATTAAAATATTAAGTCATTTAAACAAAATCATATATTTGCAAATGTTAGTATATAGTTTATTACATGTTTATCATTATAAATATTGCACAAATATTTGTTTTTATATTAAAAATAATAGAAAAAATACACTATACACTAAGTATTTCGACAAAAAAGTGTATAATGTTCAAACCATAAATGCACTGTTATAAAATAAATAAAAATATGTTTTCTTAAATAATCAACCTATTGGGGTTGTCCAAATAAAGAAATGGCCTAAACAATCACAGAATAATAATAATTAAATTTAGTGTTGACTTTTTTTTTGTCATATTATTAAAAGTATAATAGTCAGCAACATTTATTACAAACCCTCACAGGACTCGTCCATCCTCTGAGCGGAACTGATTTTCTACTCAGCGAGCATTTATCGCACACCCCTTTACCGCAATCTCTACAATGATGCAAAATTACTTTATCATCAAACCGTCTTTCGCAGCAGCAGCATCTCTCGCACTCAATATCCGGCGTCCAATAAGCCGGTCTAACCGAATCCTTGATAAAATCCTTACTGATAGTAAGCACCGATTTGACGGCAGTCATCGAGCTAAAAACCGTCTCGCCGATTTGCCGGGCTCGGTTTTCCGAGCCGTCGGTTGCCTGCGACAGGCTCGGGGGTTCTTCTCGGTAGCAGATGTCGCAAACGCGCACTTCACTGAACCAACCGCGGCTGGGTACCGTTTGACGTTTGGAGCTGCATGATTCGCAGAAACCCTCACCACACGCGCGGCAATGGTGCTTGGTTTCCAGCAGTTGGAACACTTTTTTGCACTTAAAACAAGCCTGAAATAAAACAGAATTGGTTTCATAAATTGTTTTATTCAATAGGATATTTAAAAAATAATTATTTACTTTTTTACGTTATTATAAAACTTTATTATAAATAATATTGATAACAAAGCCCCACAAAAAAGTATGATGTCCAATGTCCAATAACGCGTTTTTTCGATCTCAGACATAATTTCGGATTTAGCGGCAAAAATACAAAGAAATGGTCTCATTTGGTGGGATGGGCCTAATACTTTGCGATGGGGAGGGACTGTAAAGGGTATCTACAATACCGTAAAACCACAGCATAAGAAGAGACAGCAGGCATTTGATCTAATTTTCGAACGGTGGCCGGTATGAAATAGATATTATATAATAGTAATCTGGTTGTATGAAATTCGCTGTATAAATTTAATCCCTGGGATTTTCCATGTCCAAAAATTACCCTAAATTAAGACCCATACAATATAGTAGGGTGAATCTCTCGAAATGTCCCCCGATGATGTTACCCCGTAATATTTAATAAAACTAAATAAGTTTGACATACACTTTTATTGTGTTTTGATCTTTCATAATTAAGTAAATATTACAGCTCAGGTTCCAGATTTTTAACCGCAATTAATTATTTTTTACAATGTTTTAAAAGTCTTAAACCTATCCTCCGTGACTGTTACTCTTTCTAGGTTAACCTATATGTTTTCAAATATCTGAGGTAGTAAAAGCCTACTAAAAATATCAGTAAATTAAACACATCCAAAGCAATCGAATCAAATATAAAATATTATTAAAAATTAAAAGAAATAATTTTTATAACCATTTATGTAGGTGTTACAAAAATTGATTCTATCCTCCGTGAATCTGTTTTTGCTTTAAATTTTATGCAACGGATAGCGCTTTAATCATTTTAAATAAGCAAAAACCTATGTTTACGACATTATAGATGCATGTGATTCCTGAAGGTCAGTTAGAATTTATATGCAGATGAGTGTTGCTGTTTTATAATTCAAAAGTTCAAGTTCATTAATTTGCTATTTAAAAACATATCCACCGTGAAGTGAAGATTTTTTTTATAAATATTTTATGTATGTCATGGTGTCCCTGAATAACTTTTAATTGAAAGGTTCAGACGTATCCGATTTTTTTTCATATTTTGATAAAAAACTACCTGGGTCAGAATTTCTCAAACGGGCCACCTGAATTAGGTCAAAATTAGTTTTTGATTGTAGATACATTTTTTCGATAGTATTTTACATCACTAACACAAATCCTAAAGGATTTTGTAAAAAAAAAAAATTCAATTGACATATTCATGATATTAAAAGTAAAAGTTTTTAGTATTTAAAAAATAAAAAAAAATCATTATGGCTAAACTAATTATCCGATTCCAACGATTTAACTAGCGTTGGAATCTTGTTTTGACATAGATTCTTTGTTATTTTTTTCAATTGTACAATTTTCATTTAGGTCGATTTTTTTTTGTTTTTTTTTATAACAAATTCGGAAATAATTGGCTTCTGCGCCAGCTATCGACTCGAAAAAAAAAACACATATACTCCAATCATTTTTCGAAATTATGCTGCTGAGAAAAAAAATGGCCCGCAGGTTCCAGACCACCGTAAGACGTCGCGTCACAAGCGCGAACAGCGTACACGGTTCGGAGCGTGAGCTGACACCGCGCGCGGCCACAAAAGGACGAATAACTTTTTGTCAACCTGCGGGCCATTTTTTTTCTCAGCAGCATAATTTTTAGAAATGATTGGAGTATATGTGTTTTTTTTCTCGAGTCGATAGCTGGCGCAGAAGGCAATTATTTCCGAATTTGGTATAAAAAAAACAAAAAAAAATCGACCTAAATGAAAATAGGACAATTGAAAAAAATAACAAAGAATCTATGTCAAAACAAGATTCCAACGCTAGTTATATCGTTGGAATCGGATAATTAGTTCAGCCATAATGAATTTTTTTATTTTTTAATTATTAAAAACTTTGACTTTTAATATCATGAATATGTCAATTGAAAATTTTTTTTTTACAAAATCCTTTAGGATTTGTGTTAGTGATGTAAAATACTATCAAAAAAATGTATCTACAAACAAAAACTAATTTTGACCTAATTCAGGTGGCCCGTTTGAGAAATTCTGACCCACCTACAAGACAATTTTTTTTTTAGGATAAACTAAATTCGCTTGGCACTTTTTTAGAAAAATCAATTTTTTCAAAAACATTAATGATTTTTAATCAATTTTTTGAGATTTTTAATTAGTGAACTCCAAATAATGACTAACAACTTTTAATGTATTTGTTACATAAAATGTGCAATTCATTAGACTAGTGAACTATTGACATATGTCACTTATCATATGTCGAAATCGTGATTGAAAATACCGTAGCGTTATTTTACTGTTTTTTTTTCAATTTGTCGCAGATTTATTTATAAATTAGATATAAATAATTATATTTGCATTGATTATAGTATATAGTGCAATGAAGCTAATATGCCATGCATGGACTCACTCGGATAATGGAGAGAATTTGTTTGATTTGTCTTAAAAAAAAAAGAAAAAATGTTTAAAATATGTGGAAAGATTCTGGAAAAAGTTGTATAAGTATATGATGTAGAAGATGAACGATTACCAAAAGTTGTATGCAAAGGTTGTGAAATTTTATTATATAAAGCAGCTAAACAAGAAATTTATAGAAACACGTTAAATTTGCCTGATTTTTCTAATTGGAAATAATTTTATAAAAAGTTCTAAAAAGAAACCCATTAAAAAAGAAAAAAAGCGTGTGGTGAGACAATGTTTCAAATGTTTGTCAAGTATTGTTGGTGGCCGCGGTAAAAACATAAATGTAAACCTGGAGTAAAAGAAGAAAATATTGAAAACGATATTAGTGAAACTTCAAGTCCGAAACATCAGCAGCAGTTACTATGGCTCTTTCTTTTTTCTTTTTTTTTTAAAGAGCGATAGTAACTGCTGCTGATGTTTCGGACTTAAAGCTATGCTTTGAACTTTTTCCAGAATCTTTCCACATATTTTAGACATTTTTTCTTTTTTTTAAGACAAAACAAACAAATTCTCTCGGGATTATCCGAGTGAGTCCATGCATGGTTTTTTATTAGCCTTATTGCACTATATACTATAATCAATGCAAATATAATTATTTATATCTAATTTATAAATAAATCTGCTACAAATTGAAAAAAAAACGGTAAAATAACGCAACGGTATTTTCAATCACGATTTCGACATGTGACATGTAACAAGTGACATATGTCAATAGTTCACTAGTCCAATGAATTGCACATTTTATGTAACAAATACATTAAAAGCTGTTAGTCATTATTTGGAGTTCACTAATTAAAAATCTCAAAAAATTGATTAAAAATCATTAATGTTTTTATAAAAATTGATTTTTCTAACAAGGTGCCAAGCGAATTAAGTTTATCCTGAAAAAAAATTGTCTTGTAGGTAGTTTTTTATCAAAATATGAAAAAAAATCGGATACGTCTGAACCTTTCAATTAAAAGTTATTCAGGGACACCGTGATGTACAATTTTATTTTTAAAAAATATTAAGGTGTCAAAAGATACAATAACTTATTTCAAATATACAAAGGAATGTTTTTAAAGAAACATACGAAATCCTACCTTCCGTGAAGCTATCTTCCGTGAATCTCTAATATTCAAAATGTGTGATTTCTTAAAATTCTTGCATTAATGCAGAACCACTTATGTTATGTTATTACTAGACCTGGTGGGTTCCCAAAACCCCCATTCAAGACTAACAGTGAAACAACCAAAAATAAAAAATAATCATTTTCACTTGGTGGACATCTCAATATATTCACCCAGTAATGTAATCCTAACCTCCGTGAAGCTATCTTCCGTGAATCTCTTATATTCAAAATGTATGATTTCTTAAAATTCTTGCATTAATGCAGAACCACTTATGTTATTACTAGACCTAGTGGGTTCCCAAAACCCCCTTTCTAGACTAACAGTGAAACAACCAAAAATAAAAAATAATCATTTTCACTTGGGGGACATCTCAATATATTCACCCAGTAATGAAGTTAATATTTAAATAATAATTAAAATAATTTTTATTTTTATAATTTTTTATCGTGCAAGGCTAATTGCAAACTAATACGAACATTTTGTTAAAGAACATATAATATGTTCTATATCTTAACTCTGTAACTCTGTAATATGCAATTGCGTACAAAGCAACAGAATCTGTTGTAAAAGAATTTTGAAATTACCAAGTTTCTGCACGATTCTAGAAAAAATATTATTTTTACAAATGAAAACTGATGACAAAAACTGCTTGTAGAAAAAATATTGTACTCAAAGTTTCTTTTCCGCACTCAACTCATGACAGAACTCCGTTATGCGTCGTTCGTTCAACGCCAGTCGCGTGCGGAAAAGTAGCACTTTTCGCACTAGTTAGGTAAATAACTATTACGTTTTCGAAAAATATTATGTTCATTTTTATGATGTATGTCATTAAAAGTTGACTTTTACGTTATATTAATTATGTGTTTAAACAACTTTATTTACCTATCTAGTGCGGAAAATGCCAATTTTCTGCCAGTGTCAAGCTAATTTCGTCCTATTTTCTAAAAATAATACAATATATGTATTTTTCTACTCCCACCTTTAAAACGCGCATTATCGTACATGTTTCCAGGACCGTAAGTGATCGTTTAAATACACATTGACAAGCTAAGGCTTTATGGCGCTTAAGTCACGGGCTGAAGTTAGTTTTAAGTTAGTTGACAGTTCGTCACCTGAGAATTATAGTGTTCTATCGGCATTTTTTTTAAATTGAGGTTAGTCTTGTTTTAAGTCTTAAAGATGCATATTGTTCTATCTATATATAATTGGGGTAGAAATTGTACAGTTTAAGCCTTAAACTGTACAATTTCTACCCCAATTTTATATAGATAGAACAATATGCATCTTTAAGACTTAAAACAAGACTAACCTCAATTTAAAAAAAAATGCAGATAAA